CTGCAAATGTGGCTTAATATGCCATGCTGTTACTTTCCTTTTCCCTACGTCTTTAAATTGCAATTATCTTATTTGCATATCTTTACCTTTGTATACAGAGTGTGTGAGTGTTCCAAATGCATCACTTGGTTCATGGTTTAATGGGTTAATGGATCACAAAAGGACATACCTAGGCCTGGTTCAGATGAATGGGTATAAACTGGATACCCTGAATGTTGTCCCTTTCACCGGAGGTGGCTAAGACTCCCAGGAAAAGTGTGAGGGCATCCGCAGTTACACATGGAGGGCTGCCTTATGTGAAGAAGGAAAATTCTAGAAGTGGAAATGTGTATGGGAAGGTCTGTGTATGTGCATGTGTGCACACAATTACATGCTAGGTAGAAAACCATGCTCTGCTAACGACCTTCGTTATTATTTTTTGAGAGAGAAAGGGTGCAGTGGCTATTCATGGGCGTGATCAGAGCTCACTGCAGCCTCAAACTCCTGGGCTCAAGCGTTCCTCCTGCCTCAGCATCTTTTCTCTCTTTTCATGACAGTGTTCCCTTTTTTGAGGGAAATGCTTCTCTCTCTGCTCTGATGCTTTAGGTCTAATGGGCATGGCCCCCTCACATACACACAAGGATGGGCAGTAATGCAATCCAGGACACAAGAATCCTTCCTTGCGTTTTTCTAATCCAAGGGAGAAAAAGCACACTCCCCGGAGAGGCAAGACTGTAGACAGGTGTGTGTCCGGAGCCATCGGCAGCTTGGGAACAGCTGTTCCACAGTGGCAGGGAGTGAGGCGGCACATGGAGATGCAGCTTGGAAGAAAAGGGCCTCCTGGGGACATCCCAGCTGCTTTTGTGATCTGTGTACTCTCCTTCCCATTCTCTTTCTGCTTTTTGCCTTTGCTTTGTGGGTTTTGCTTTTTAAGTTTCGATGTTAATACTTGAAACTAAGGAGATATAATATTAATATACCAACTGAAGGCACAAAGCACAGAGTTGCATACTGAAGGTTTTTGTTACTTCCATAGTTATATAAAATTCCCACAGAATTGTTAAACTTTAAGTATCCATAAATAATTACAGCTAAAGCTTTAGAAGACATGTACAAATAAAAAAACATTAGCATCATTTTCCATATTCATCTGAATAGAAGGTGACTTAAAATAGTAGAATAGTACAGAGGAGTAGAACACAATTCACATTCTGAACCTTGGGGAAGAAAAGGTCTAGACACAGGCAGGCCTCTGAGGAAATTAGACAGGGGAGGGGTCTCACTCTGTTGTAAGCCTATGTTTTAAAGCTTTGAAAAGATTTGTTCTTGTTTGTTTTTAAATATAGTATGTAGATGCTTTTAAAAGAAAGTACATTTCAAGAAACGATTTAGCCTAAGGCAAAGACAAGATTTCTTTTCAGTTATAAAATATCAATTTAGAGAGAGTAAAAGATTAGGGAGGGCAAATCCCTAGAGTAGTACCTCTCAGGTACATAATTTATGGTATCTCACATGATAGCCAGCATCTCTGCCATTTAAAAGGTCTGCTGTAAAAAGTAAAGCTTGCATTCAGATCATCTTTTATTTGGACTAACATAGCATTACTTTTGACCACTGTGATTATCACTACTTTTATATGCACTGCCCATTAAAAAGGTAGGAACTAGAGCACTTAAATTTTTCCTGCATTTTTATCACTGTGTATGTTCTTGTCTCATTCAGTGATTTACATCTTAGAATGAATTCTAAAAGAAACCTCTTATTCTGGAGAGCAGCTGTTCTCTCTCCATGAGGATTCCTGTCTGGGCCTCGTAAGGATCTGTGGCGGGCAGGGTGTGCTGGGCTCCGGGCTTACATTTGACTCTGGCCACACAGGTCTGTCCACATTCAGAGGAGGGAGGAAAAGCTGAGGAGTCCTTAAGGATGCAAGTAGAATACTATCTAGAAATTTACACTGTTTGGTTACTGGGGCCATGAAAAGTCAAGTCTATGAATTAGATAATTAGTATCCACATGGTATATCACAATTTCATACTGAATATAAATGGAATCTCCTACAATCCTGGGGACTCTATTGGTAGGGAAGAAGCATTTGGTTTCTGTGTAGCCTCTACTCAAGTAATTGTGTTTCCTGATTGGTCAGAGCTCAACCTTCTTTTCTGGTCTAGGCTTTGGCTGCCTTTGGTCTGCTGGTCAGCCCTCGGATAGCTTACGATAACTACTTCTAGGGTGGGCTAATTCCATCCAGAAAGAGGTGCTGGCTGAAATGCTGACTTTAAGATGAAATCTTTTTTTCTCTGTCGCCCAGGCTGGAGGGCAGTGGCACAATCTTGGCTCACTGCAACCTCCACCTCCCGGGTTCAAGTGATTCTCCTGCCTCAGCCTCCTGAGTAGCTGGGACTACAGGTGTGTGCCACCATGCTCGGCTAATTTTTAAAAAAAATATTTTTAATAGAGACGATGTTTCACCATGTTAGCCAGCATAGTCACTATCTCCTGACCTCGTGATCCGCCTGCCTCGGCCTCCCAAAGCACTGGGATTACAAGTGTGAGCCATCACGCCCAGCCAAGATGAAATCTTAATCCAGGCTATAGATTATCTGAAACAGCTTTCAAAAATGACAGATATACTATTTTGTGACTGGCAATCACAGCTGGCCACTTACAATTATGCCTGGGGTATAACACAGCAAGCCTAAAGGTCAGTCCTCTACAGAGGTGGCTCTGATTATTACTGCTCCCTTTAGTTTTCTCAAGCAATAAAACGTTGTCCAGAAAGCTGCCCTCCTTCTAACAGCCTCTAGCGGCTATACTCAGCTGTGGTCACTGAATGTAGCACATATAACACATGGTAGCCCTTGTCACCACGCACCAAGGTGTACACTCTCATGCACTCAGGTGACTTAGGTGACAGAACTAGTAAAGGATGAGAAGAATTCAGATGGGAAATGCTACTGAATGAGACGGTATTCTTATAATTCTTATGCATGTAAACTATGACCTGAATTCTTTGAATACTCTACTTTATTTGCCTGGTTTTGAAATGAAAAGATCTTTGATTTAGAGTCTGGTTTGAATTCTATTGAGTGTTTAACATAAAGAACTTAAGTCCAAGGACATCAAGGGTTATCATAATATCCAGGTAGGTGGGACAGGCTTAATTGCTTTGTATTCATCCACAGAAATTCCTTTCCTGCTTGAGAGGGCATTACTGGTAAATTATTCTGTCTCTTCCTCACTTGTTCTCACATTCCAGCTTCCTAAGGCATAAAAATAATATATTAAATCCTCACATAAACCCCAAAAGGTAGATATTATTTTTGTCCCCATTCTAGAAAAAAAAATTGAAGACAAGGCTGGGTGCGGTGGCTCCTGTTTGTAATCCCAGCACTTTAGGAGGCCAAGGTGGTTGGATCACTTGAGATCAGGAGTTTGAGACCAGTCTGGCCAACATGGTGAAACCCCATCTCTATTAAAAAAAAAAAAAAACAAACATTAGCCAGGTGTGATGGCAGGTGCCTGTACTTCTAGCTACTCGAGAGGATAAGGCAGAAGAATCACTTGAACCTAGGAGGTGGAGGTTCCAGTGAGCTGAGACTGGGTCACTGCACTCCAGCCTGGGCGACAGAGAGAGAGACCATGTCTACAAATAAAAATTGACGACAAGAACATTTCAAGGTCAGCAAAGAACCGGGATTCAAACTCAGACAGAGTCTGGCCAAGAATCCATGCTCTGGTGCCCTACACCACTCAGCTCTGCCCAGAAACAGTGGCATGACTGTTTCACTGCTGGAAAGTGCCCTAACAAGGCTGCAGGTAAGCGCTCTTACCTGGTCAGGTCCTGAGTCTCCATGCGGGTAATGTATTTTCAAGCCACTCTGGTTATTTAAGTTCCTAACTTCTTTCTTCAGGGTAGTTCTACACTTTACTCGTTAGCTTCCTTGTTAGGCTATTGCCCTAACTTGCTTGATGATAAGAATCAGCTGGAATAAAAATGTAGCTTCTCAAGATCCTATGTTTAGAAATTCCAATTCACTGGGTCTGATGTTGTCCCAGAAATCTGTTTTTAACAAGGGACCCAGATGATTCTTCTCATCAGTCAAGTTTGAGAAACACTGTCCTGGGAGTTCTAGCCAATGGGAACAAACTTCATGGGTCTAAGCACTATATACTAAGTCAAAACTTCTATAGCGTTTCTATAGCTAAATTAATCCAAAGCAATCGGTACATATGGCACAAAGTGTTTTTTTTCCAGGAAGGACTGGGGGGTGGGCTGGAATGTCTTTGTGGTTTTCTTGTTTTTGAGTGATGACTGTTAGAAAGAATTCTTTAATGGCCATGCCCTTGAGGGAGTTTTTGCATTGCTCTGGTCATGGAACAGCTTATACCAAATAGAAAGCCATTTTATACAGTTCTTTTAAGTCCCGCCTGAGAGAATTTGGGAGAAGAGCAAATTAAATAGAGAAGAAAGTACATAGTGCTCATTCCTTGAAGGCCCCTAAAGCAAACTCCTTGCATAACCGAAAGGGAGAGACTCAGGCTTTTCAACTTAAATATTTATAAATTATACACAGAATGATTTAGGATTAAATTTTATAAGGAATTCATTCAATTTACACAGTCTAATCAAAGAGCAAAAATGATCTTTGACACTTAAAGAATTCAAAGGCAAAAAAACTGTTGAAACTCATGACTATCAAAATATTGTTTAAGGTTAAAAAACAGATCTGAAACATGCCTAATTGGCTCTGACACTGTCATCACTGCTTGTCACAAACGAAGTTTCCACCTGAGGCACCACTGAAAGCCAAACTTCAATTGCTATATTTGTGAGTTACTGAGGGGAAAAAAGGAAAATAAAAAGTTGAAATTAAGACTAAAAGACAGTCAAAGGAAGAGAACGCAAACCAGTCCTTTCCGCCCTGTGGAACAATGTGCTTCTCAGACCTCATTTCTGATGAGTGCATTGCAAATCAGTAGCAGAGGCCAATACCCAAGTCGAAGGCACAAGACATACTTACCTCTTGGTGGGAGTGGGCACTCCAGAGGACATGTGGCTAACCACGGTGTCATTCATATTAGTCAGAGGGCGAGGAGGACTGAAAGAAAAGACATTACCTTATATTAATAATTACCAACTAGGGGAAAAAAGGGAAACGCCAATAAGGGTGATAAGAGCAAAGGGACCAACCATCATTTGAGATAAGCACAGTGGGACCCACGGGGAGTGGAGCAGAAATCAATACTTCAGGCCTAAGTAAATTCAGCAAAGGAGGTTCTTGCTCACAAAGCCACAGGACCACTGAGCTGTGGGTACCAGAAGCAACTGATTATAAACACACTACTACAGGGCGCAAACACACTACTACACCACTTCAGTGGCTTTTGCTTTGTAGTTTTAGTACATAAAATTTTAAATTCTGCCACTTAGTGAATTTCTCTACATTTTAGGTACAAGATGACTAGATGTCTGGCATTCATCGTATATGACAAACGTCATAGCATCGAGGTGCATGCTGTTCCTGAGATTTGGTTAGAGCTCACTGCTTTCCCTCAGACTTAGTTTGTCAACTTTTAACCAAAACAAACTGTTAAATACCACATTCAAAAATAAGACTCTGGAAGAAACTTTTATTAATTATCTACTAGAATCTTAACAACAAATCCAAATTTTACACCTATACTCTAGTTAGAATGTTGTCTTTTATAACCACTAATCCAAATTTAAACTTGAAAGTTAGCACTTTTGGTAATTTGTCTTTAGTTGCAGGTTTTCTGGACTCAGGTCTGTCCATTTCTCCTTCTTGTGAAAGTCCTGAAGGAATGAATTCAAGCTTCTCAAAAGGAGCCTGGTATTTTGCCTTCCAGCCATTCCTCAAGCCCTCTCCCTCCCTACCAGGTTCAGCTACAAAAAGTTTCTGTCTTGCATCTGGAACCACATGACTATTGCTAAATACTTGTGGAAAATCTCTCACTTCCTCTTTTAAACTGGAAGAAGTACAGTCATGTGCCGCATAATGATGTTTAGGTCAATGACAAACCATATATTATTATAACAGATTATAATACTGTATTTCTACTATACCTTTTCTATGTTTAGATACACAAATACCCTTGTATAACAGCTGCCTCTAGTATTTGGTACAGTCACATGTCATACAGGTCTGTAGCCAAGGAGGCTACATACATGTATAGAGTGTACTTACACAAGCCTAGGTTGTTTTGCCTGCTGCATACCTAGGCTGTATGGTGTAGCCTAGGTATGCAGCAGGATGAACCATGTAGGTATGTGTAACTACACTCTAAGATGTTAACATAAAATTTCCCAACAAAGCATTTCTCAGAATGTATCCCCCACTGTTAAGTTATGCATGATTATACTTCTCAGATTTGTCCATCAAAAGCATAAAAGTGAAGCTGAAAGTCCTTCTCTCATATTTAGGTGCTTGGGAACTAACTACCTTCTGGTTTCTCCTTCCATTTAAGGACAGTTAATTGTGTAATATGTTTTTTGAGAGGTTATACTTAGTAATTCTTGGTGAATATTAATAAATCACAGCTTTTATTGTTATGCAGGTTTCACAGTATGTTCAAATAAAAGCTCAAGGGGAAATATTTCAGGGAGAGCCAAGGAACCTAGAGGTTAAAGAAGGATCTCTTCCTCTCTCCATCTATCTACGCACTCCTTTTTCTCATTTAAAGGAGAGGATCCGAGATGGAAAGTAATTTGCAGTGAACAGATTTAGAGCTCTTGATTTTTTTTTTTTTTTTTTTTTGAGACGGAGTTTCGCTCTTGTTACCCAGGCTGGAGTGCAATGGCGCGATCTCGGCTCACCGCAACCTCCGCCTCCTGGGTTCAGGCAATTCTCCTGCCTCAGCCTCCTGAGTAGCTGGGATTACAGGCATGCGCCACCATGCCCAGCTAATTTTTTGTATTTTAGTAGAGACGGGGTTTCACCATGTTGACCAGGTTGGTCTCGATCTCTCGACCTTGTGATCCACCCGCCTCGGCCTCCCAAAGTGCTGGGATTACAGGCTTGAGCCACCGCGCCCGGCCAGAGCTCTTGATTTTTAAGCCATAGTACTACGCTTATGGTTCTACATTCCTCTCTTTGTGTGACATGTCCCTAAGTAAGACATGTCCCTAAGTAAGACATTTAGAATTGAAATACGCCTCTCTGGGCTAGGAGTCAATTCCAAGTTATTTATCTGACTACGTGTCTTCAGACAGATATTCAATGGTGCCTCAAACTTCCAAGCCTATTAATGCTGGTGGCTGTGCTGAGTTATAATCAATTAATCAATTGTTTTAGGTTGACTAATGATGGAAGTGAACACAGAGATTAGCTTACATTCAGTCTCAAATTTATGTTTTTGCAGGTTCTTTTATGTCAATTGTCCAACTGAAACAGAGACGATCCCTATGAACGAATCAAATCCTGCACAACAGCCTTCTGGTCCGTCCTGGAAACAGAATGGGCTTTTCTTCTTTAATGTAATATTATTAGCAGTCTATTTCCAAAAGAAGATAAAGACATTTCATGTTGCTTACAGAATACAGTTACTTGCTATATATATATTTTTAAATTTTAACAAATAATAGAGACAAAGTCTCACTATGTTGCCCAGGCTGGTCTTGAACTTCTGAGTTCAAGTGAGCCTCCCAGCTCAACCTCCCAAAGTGCTAAGATTATAGGTGTGAGCCAACATGCCCGGCCACCTGTTATATTTCAGTATTAAAGATATCACTGCATTCAATTTTCTTTCTGGTATTTTCAGAGAAAAAATGAGAATAAAAAATTCTAATTCCTAAACATAAATCCATGCAATAAAATTTCATGATTTGTAACAACTTGTTTGGTCTGATACCACAAACATCTTTATCATCATCAATTTCTCTTGGTATATATCATGTTCAGCAATTATAGCACAAATATCAAAGCCTCTTCTCTAATATTCAAAACCAGACAGTAATGGTTATATCACAAACTATAAAGGAATCGTAACTGACCCCCAAATGTCATAGTCTTTCTGAACACCTAACATGTTTTGCTAGAGAGACAGGTATATGTCTGCAGTTCAAAATGAAAGAAGCACTTGCAAACTTAAAGGTCTTGACCACAACTCACCATGAAAGCCAACAGCTCGGATGTATTCTTAAAAGGTGTAACATGGCCTTGGGAATATAGTGAGACATTGTCTCTCCAGACTTTTAAAAAAAAATTAGCCTGCTGACTGGGCACAGTGGCTTACATCTGTAAAACTAGCACTTTGGGAGGCCAAGGCAGGTGGATGGCTTGAGCCCAGGAGTTCGAGACCAGCCTGGCTAACATAGTGAAACTCCACCTCTACAAAAAAAGTACAAAAATTAGCTTGGCATGGTTGTGCACACTCATAGTCCCAGCTACTCAGGAGGCTAAGGTGGGAGGATCACCTGAGCCCAGGGAAGTCAAGGCTGCAGTAAACTGAGATTGTGCCACTGCACTACAGGCTGGGTAACAGAGTGAGATCCTATCTCAAAAAAATAAAAAATAAAAATCAGTCTGGCATGGTGGCATGTGCTGCAGTCCTAGCTACTCAGGAAGCAGAGGTGAGAGGACCATTTGAGCCTGGGAGGTGAAGGCTACAGTGAACTGTGATCGCATCACTGCACTCCAGCTTTGGGTGACCGAGCAAGACCCTATCTCAAAAAAAAAAAAAAAAAAAAAAAAAACAAAAAATGACTTCTGGCTCAAACAAACATACAAAACCTTCATGGTTCTTGCAAGACATAACTGAAAAGAGTATTTCCAGGTGTAGAGCAGACATTAATGCTACAAATTATAGAAACTTAAAAAAACAGAATTGGCACAACTTATGAGATTGGTTTTGTTGATCTTTAACATTTAAAACTAGCTGAATGCCTTAAGCATGTCACCAGATATTCTGTATTTGCCTTTGGTACAGATCTCAGCAAGGTACAGGCACTAATGAGTTTCATGATACCAAAATGGCCACCATCCACAGCTTGGTCCAGAAATTTGGGAGGCTCCTTCTTTGTTAACAAGACATACCATTTTTTTGATGGGATAGAAGAAGATGATGATAGAGGTAGAAGGTATCTGCTAGTTAGTAGAGGTGGTTTTTAAAATACTTGGCAAGAATTTGGTACTTCTTTTTTGTTTATTTGTTTTGAGATGAAGTCTCAGTCACCAGGCTGGAATGCAGTGGCATGATCTCAGCTCTTGGCTCACTGCAACCTCTGCCTCCCAGGTTCAAGCAATTCTGCTGCCTCAGCCTCCCAAGTAGCTGGGACTACAGGCGTGTGCCACCACACCTGGCTAATTTTTGTATTTTTAGTAGAGATGAGGTTTTATAATGTTGGCCAGGATGGTCTCGATCTCTTGACCTCGTGATCTGCCCACCTCAGCCTTCCAAAGTGCTGGGATTACAGGCATGAGCCACCATGCCCGGCCAAGAATTTGGTACTTCTTAATCAAAGGGAAAGAGTCACTGTTACTGTGTGCCTACTGATAAAAGTAAGACTATCTTTATTTCAGTGACCTAACTGTATACAGATGGAGACAAATATGCAAACAAATCATCACAATGCCATGTATTGAGTGCAGCAATGAAGTATGGTCAGCCCTCCATGTCTGTGGGTTCAACCAACTGCAGAAGAAAACTATACAGAAAAAAAAGTTCCACAAAGTTCTAAAAAGCAAAACTTGAATTCACCATGTGCTGACTACAACACTGAATCCTTGTGAAGAAGTGATGTGTAGGCATTGTATTAGGTATTACAAGTACTCTAGAGATGACTTGAAGTATATGGGAAGATGCACATAGGTTACATGCGAATACTATGCCGTTTTATTTCAGGGACTTGAGCATCCTTAGGTTTCCAACCCCCATGGATACCGAGGGACGACTGATAGGCCAAGTGCTGAGAGTCACAGATGAAGATCAGGTACTTCTGCCTGGAGGAACGAGTGTCAAGAATAGTCAAGGAAGGCCTCAGAGAGGAGGCACTATTGAGAAGAGTTTTCCAGATACAGAAAAAGCATTAAGGGAACCCTAGATAGAAATGGTATGTAAAGTGGCATAAAAATCCAAAAAT